CCTAAATCACTCGTACGCACAATTTTATAACAAATCTGTGCGTACGAACGGTTCTTGCATGAGGCCCAATGGGAGAGACCACACAGACGTTAAACATTAAACAGACATGTTTTTACCATWTAGTGTTTAAAAACTACATTTTGTAAACAGAAAAAGATAAATTGWCTTCACAAGTGAGTAGAAAACTAAAATTAGTAACTTTTTAATGTGAATCAAGCTATATTAAATCATTTGAACAGAAATTTCTGTCATTTCATATCAAAGGTTTTACTTCTGTTCTAATATTTATTGTGTCCTGTTTCTTCTGTTGCCTTTTATGCATTTTGCTAAAATTAGACAGAGCCACAAACCCACTGAACCGAGAGACAGACTGGAGCAGCATCCACGCCTTCTGCGAGCAGCTCAACAATGATTTAGAGGGGTAAGAGTCCACTCAAGGGTCTTAAAGTTCATCCTGTGGCAAAAACCTGGCTGTTGTAGAGTTAAACTTATTAACTTGTAGACATCTAACATCAGAAATGATCTTTTCTACTCCAGAAAGACTGATTTTCATGTTAAAATCTTGATTTAAGATTCTAAAAGTGTTTAAGTCATTGTGTGTATTGGTGAGATCACATGTTTATCGTGTGTCACAGACCTCAGCTGGCCACCAGGCTCCTGGCCCACAAGATCCAGTCTCCACAAGAGTGGGAGGCCATGCAGGCACTTGTAGTAAGTTCAGAATCGAACCAGCATCTCTCATTCAGAACGATAGCACCGTCTAAAAGAATGCTGCCCCTAAAATAAATAAATAAATAAATGTTTTCACTGTTTCAACAACAAGGTTCTGGAGACGTGCATGAAGAACTGTGGGAAAAGGTTCCACAGCGAGGTGGGCAAGTTCCGGTTCCTTAATGAACTAATCAAAGTMGTTTCTCCAAAGGTAGGGCTGCCCAGAGTTTGTGAGCATCAAAGTTTGTTACACTCTTTTTTTTTTCTTTGGTCATCCTTTCTTTTTTATTTATCCTCCTGTGTAGTATTTAGGCTCGCGCTCCCCAGAGGCTGTGAAGAAGAAAGTTTTGGAYTTGATCTACAGCTGGACTTTGGGTTTACCTGATGAGACCAAGATCTCTGATGCCTATCAGATGCTTAAGAAACAAGGTAAGAAGCTGCATGCCATCACATGAACCTAAGTTATTATTATACCCAAATATAACTTTTAAATCAAACGCAYAGAACAAATAAAAAACAGCCAAAGCAAACAGAAACAAATTAAAACGTAATGTTTTTTCTTGTCATGTTTTCCTGTACGTCAGGTATCCTTAAACAAGACCCAGAGCTGCCGCCTGACAAACTGTTGAACCTTCCTCCACCCAGACCCAAGAATACCATCTTTGAGGATGAAGAGAAGTCAAAAGTAAGGACTTATCCTATAATATGTAATAAACAGTTATAGGCTAAATGTTTTACCTTGTTTCCTGTTCATCCTCTAACTGTTGACCTCTGCTGTTTGCTGGTCTTCACTCTGTTCTGTCAGATGCTGTCTCGCCTGTTGAACAGCTCACACCCCGACGACCTAAAAGCTGCCAACAAACTCATCAAGGAAATGGTCCAAGAGGTGCACCTTCTTTTTCTCCTTCCTGCTCCTTTTACACATTTATTGTAGATTATCTCTTGTTTTAAAGAAAACAAGTATAATCCAACTCTCTGTTGATGTCATTTAATGGTGAACTTTACAGTCATGCATTCATCTACATTACTGTTAAATGTTTCTGCAGTTTGGTGCGTTTAGCATAATTTTGTACACATATGCACTTGTTTCAATCWGTCGTGTGATGTTTGCGAAAATGCGTTGGGTTTCAGGATCAGAGGCGAGCAGAGAAAGTGTCGAAGCGAGTGAACGCCATCCAGGAGGTGAAGGAGAGCGTCGCCCTGCTGACTCAGCTTCTGCAGGACTACGACAGCGCCGCTACGAATCAGAGCAACGCTGAACTCGTACAGGTGAAGCAAACAAAATGTTCCTTTTATTCAGTCATTTTATTGATTATTTATTTTTATTTTATTTATTCAGTCATTCATCCTTTTAGTCAGTCAGTTTATTCAGTTTGTGTGTATGTGTGTGGTCAGGATTTATACCAGCGCTGTGAGAAGATGAGYCCCACATTGTTCAGGCTGGCAAGTGATACGGAAGACAATGATGAGGCTCTGGGTGAGACACAGCTTTATTTTTTATTTATCAGCTGTGACGCAGACGTCAGTGTTGTTATTTTTTGTTAATTGAAGTGTTCATAATGGTATCTTGGCCATTTCATGGTCTTGTTGTTGGATCACTAATAGTTTGTAAATATTTAAAAACAGGCTACCTCAAGAAATACATTACAGAGGCGAGGTTTGACCCTAGTGTCAATAGTATCTGCTATCAATGACTGTAAACACCAATGTGTACATGCTTGAAGGGATATTTGTGGAAATATTATGAGTAATTAACATCTTACCTGTTGTAGACAGCTCTTTGAATGACCTCAGTTTGGAAAAATAAAGGTTCGTCTTGACACGACTGACTGAGAGGTCAAAACCAAAGTGGATTGCTTCCATCCTAAAGCACCCAAATCCTCAAAAATTTTGAAACAATTCAAAAATACATTTACATCATTATCAATTTCACATTACACGGTCGATTAAATGGAAATTGTTGGATTTTTGTACACATAAATGGTGGCAGCAGCAGCAGCTAGCTGGAGCACTTCCTACAGGAATAACATAATATTTCTGCTGAAATAACCTAAAAGTGAAGGTAATGTAAAGATAGAACCTCCTGAGAACTACGCTTTTGATTAATGTGCATTTTTTTCAATTTCTTCTACGTATTAGGGTTGTGCATAATTGTATCATGTGCAATTAATTGTCAGAAAAACATTAATCGATTATTTTTTGGCACTTGACAATTAAAACGATTAATGCCACCAGGCGGACTGACTGGAGATTTCCCCGGTCAGTCCGCTTGGTGCTCCTCTCC